CAAGCGCGAGGAGAAGACGCGCAACGAAGACGGCATCTGGGACGTCTACCAGATCATGTGGGGCGTCCTCAAGCTGAAGAACATCCAGACCATCATCGTCGTCCACCTCATCGCCAAGATTGGCTTCCAGGCCAACGACGCCGTCACCAACCTCAAGCTGATTGACAAGGGCTTCGGGCAGGAGAACATGGCCCTGACGGTCCTCATTGACTTCCCCTTTGAGATTGTCCTCGGCTACTACGCCGGTAACTGGTCTCAGAGATACACGCCCATGCGCCTCTGGTGCTGGGCCTTTGTCGGACGTCTCGCTGCCGCGGTGCTAGCCCAGATCACCGTCGCCATCTTCCCCGCCGGCGGTGTCACGGGCTGGTACATGCTCGTGGTCATTGCCGAGCACATCTGGTCCACCTTTACCAACACGGTCATGTTTGTCGCCGTCTCCGCCTTCCACGCACGCGTCTCAGACCCCGCCATTGGTGGCACCTACATGACCCTGCTGGCCACGTACGTCTGCCTCGTCTATCCCCTGCCTCGTCATGCCTTGACTTCCCGTTCCTTACGCTAACTCGTCTGCAGGGTGTGCAACCTCGGCGGCACGTTCCCCCGCTTCTTCGTCCTCCGCCTCGTCGACTACTTCACCGTGGCGACCTGCCACCCGGGCAACGCCCCGGACCTCGATGCCCTCAAGGGCCCCGTCGTCACGAGCCCCTTCTCCTGCTCGCTGCAGGCTGACAAGGAGCGCTGCGTCAAGGGCGGCGGCACCTGCACCATGGTCCAGGACGGCTACTACATTGTCAACGTCATCTGTGTCGCCCTCGGCCTATTGACCTTCGTCCTGTACATCCGCCCCCGCGTGCTGCACCTGCAGTCCTTACCCATGCGGCCTGGCGGTTAGCGCCCACGAACATGAAGCCGTAGAGGCGCTGCGTCTCTATCGGGGAGCGCGGCGAGAGGATAGCAAATAGACCTTTCCTTCTGGAATGACATGCATCGTTGGCGATTGTACACATCCATGACGAATCAACTGCGTATCAATACTTTTTCAAAGCGTTAGGACTCTTCGTTGCGTGGGACTGTCACGTCCGTCTGATGTTTGTATCCTTTTCAAGCACCGGTAAAGTCGTGCAGCAGGAAAATCCTCATCAACGGCAGAATGGAAGCATCAACTTAGTGTTTCTTTTTGTTTCATCCACAATCTCTAACAGGA